TCTGAGAGAGAACCACCCAAGGTACCTTCCTAGAAAGTTTCACAGCTATACAGTTTGTGGTTTTTAAGAAAAAGTCGAAAATGTAAAGTTGACGACAACGGACGCCGACGACGGACAATCAGTAATACTATACGCTCCGCTCGACTTTGTCGACAGCAGAGCTAAAAATTGCTTGACAGCCAGAATTTGAATTCTCATAAATCAATTCTACTCATATCAAGTGTTTGAACAGGCAGTGTTTTTTTTAATACACACAGACATGGACTTTTATACAAACATTCAAATAAGAATTGATAACTAGTCATATTCTACCTTTGCTCCTTCTCATGAACAAGTGAATAAGAATGGAATAATATGTACATGCGAAGGGATTTATGCAGCAATATAAGCAAAAATTCTATTGAATTTGGCCAGATGATTATAAAATACAGTATGAATCACATCATGCATTGGGCAATAACACACAGCATGTTTTTAAAAATAAATCAATTAAAAATCAATGTAAATTAAATAATTAATGAGCAGCCTGTCGGCTGAGATAGCTCCACTGTTAGCAATGCACATTGCAATTGAAGAGCAGAAAATATCATTAGAAAATGAACAATATGTATTGTATCAAAGCAACAGGACTTGCTGTTTTCAACTAGAATTCAAAAATATCACTTTTTGCCAAAAATAATCATCAAAATTAGATAATTGGGATATCACCACAAAATTAACAAATGTAGTACCCTATATATGTAATATAAAAGCAATCAGACTTGCGGTTTTCAACAAGAAGTCCAAAATATCACTTTTTACCAAAAATTACAAAAATATTCATCAAAATTAGAGAATTGAAAATATCATCATGAAATGAACAAATCTGAGAGAGGACCACATGTAGTACCTATATATGAAAATATCAAAGCAATTGAACGTGCCGTTTTTAACAAGAAGTCGAAAATATTACTCTTTACCAAAAATGACAAAAATATTCACCAAAATTAGAGAATGGAAGATATCATTATGAAATGAACAAATCTGAGAGAGGTCCACCCAAGGTACATACACACCAAGTATCAAAGCATTCAGG